TTCAGCCTCTTAGGTATCTGAGACTCTACCTACACAGGTGTGCTACCATGCCTGGTTTGAAGTTACATGTTTTAAAAGTACATAATCTGCTGGGCATGGTATCCCATGCCTTTAGTCCCAGCACTTGGGAAGCAGAGGCAGGTGGATCTCTGTGAGTTTTTAGCCAGCCTGGTCTACATAGCAAGTTCCAGGTCAGCTAGGTGTACGGGGGACCCTATCTCAAAAAAAAAAAAAAAAAAAAAGACATAATCTGTATGTACAGTTATAGTAATGTGGAATTTTTTATGCAATTTTAAAGTTAATTTTCAAGTTAACATACAAAATGATGGCTATCATTATGGTATTTTCATACATGTATGTCATTCTATTTTGTTCTTATTCATCTCCTTTCTCCCCAACTGCTCTCCCTTATCTCCCTCTTCCCCTCTTGGTGGTTCCCTTTTCCCCCCAAATAGTCTTCCCTCTGCTTTAGTGTCATATGAATTCCATTACCTTCATCTCTTCCCCAACATTACTTCCTCACCTTTCATGGTCAGTAACGTAGAATTCTTTATACTTGTCTAGAAAGGACAAGTATAGAGGAAGTTGCCTACTTTCATTAGGAAAAATTGATATTTAATATTTAAATGTATTCATAGCATGTTCTATGATAGATATTTTTGTATGTGATCTTAAGTCTTAAGAAATTTAATTATATTTTTATAGTGTTTTAGTCTCATGATTCAAATATACACTGACTTATCGATTCATCAAAAGAAGTATCTTTAGGCAAAAAAATTATATACATATAGATTTAGTTCCATATACATTAAAGATCATATATAAATGTTGCATGATGGTGACACATTCACAGATCAGTGCTTCCACTAAGTAGTTTAAAACAAAGCTGACATTTAAAATAATTCTGAAGTCTCTGAGTGGAAGGTCGTTTTTGTTGTTGTTGTTTTGTTCTTTTTCTCCATCTCATGAAACTCCCAAGTATGGACATTGCTGATGACTCCACTTCCCTAACCAATTTTGGGATGCCTCCCAACTACCTATAAAAATCCTTAATCTTTTGAGTCCTGAGCTCCAATCATATTTATCTGCAGTCTACTGTGTGTACTGTACATATCTCTTAATCACAGATGTGACCATCAAATATTACAATCTCATATTACTCTCATTTTGTTTTTCTCTTTTTACAACAAAAAGGTTTCTTTGATACCTCAGTAATTTTCCAGCCCCTTCCATTTTCTCTTGACCTCTTTTTCTTTTCTATGTAATCTGAACCTCTGACCACTTCTTACCCACATTTCTCCTCTGCTGTACTCTGCCACTGATTCAACACAGCCGAACTGCAACTTTGCATTAAGAATACACTTCTCTCTGTGGTTCCCACTCTCCTGGAGCTGAACACTCTAAAGCCAGTCACAACTCATAGAGTATTGCACTGCAAAGTTTGGATCTCCAACCTTACTGGGCTTCATTTCCATTTGCACAACTTTAAATGCTGCATACCCTTTCCCCTTAGCATGAATTCCAAATCTTCAGTGTTTTCTCAGGCACTGTATTTTAACCATTGTCCACACCTACCGCATGTTTTGTCTGCATTAAAGTATATTGTAATTTCCTCTTCCTGAACTTAGAGACTCCTCCTAAAACTTTTTTGATGTTTTATATTCATCCTTAAATGCCTTTCCTCCAGTTGCAGGGGACAAGGTGGCTACTGTATGTAATCTATCCTGCTGTGCTGGTGATTTCATCCCCTCCCCTCTCAAGCGGTTTAGTGTATTGCTTCACTAGTCACTTTCTCTAGTACGTTTGACTTCCTTTCTCTACCATCCACCTGTGCTCCATTTAAATATGTCCTCCCTTAGTCCCTGGGCCACGTCAGTTACTAATTTGTATCTATGTCTAACCAACCTTTTTGAAAATGTAGTGTACAGAATTTTCACTTTCACTTTCTCCTGAACCCAACATAATTTGACTTTGGCTGCTAATGCAACACATTAAGGCACCAATGGCGACCTCATGTCAGTTCATGGATGTTTTTGGTTCTTTTCTCAACAAACCACTCTTACCTTTTGACCTTGGTCAGTACTGGTTATTCTCTGCTTTGTGGAGACCCCTGTTTCTGGCCTCTGCAACACTTCCCTTACTAGCATTTCTTCCTAAAGCCGTTTCCTTATTCTCTAGTCCTTTTGTTGGTTCCTCTTCCTCTAGATTACTTAAACGTTGGTGTTCTCAGCTTACTGCTCTTGTCACTGTGCAAGAAATTCTTAACTTTTGGATATGACCCCATAAACATCTATTGAAAATTATGAATGTTTTCTAAGGAAAATATGGATAGGCACATACATATAACATTTAGTGTATGAAGTTTCATGTATCTTTAGAAACCATTTTGAGAATATGGCCATATGTGGTGGCACCTGTAATCCTAGCACTTAGAAGACAGAAGCAGGAGGATCAATGGAATTTTGAATTCAGATTGGGCTACATAGTGAGACCCTGTCTCAAAAACAAACAGATAAGTAAAAATCCCTAAGTATGATTTCCCTTTTAAAGCCAGGAATGGTGGTGTGTGCCTATAATTACAACACTTAGGAGGCAGAAGCAGAAGGATAGCCACAAGCTTCAGGATACCTGATCTCTGTAGTGAGTTCCAGGCTAGCCTGGGCTACATAGCAAGACTCAAAACCAAGTGTGTGTATGTGTGTGTGTGTGTGTGTGTGTGTGTGTGTGTGTACTAGAAAATTTTAATTAAAATATAAAGCATAAAAATGTATTTGTAAAAATTGATATTTATGTTGAAAGCATTTGTTTGGAATGTAGGTACTTGCTTGAAATTCATTTTTCATGCCTCTTTTTTAAAAAATATTTTATTATTTTTATTTTATGTATATGAGTGTATTACCTGAATGTACGTAAGTGCACTTGTGTCATGCAGTGTCTGAGGAGGTTCAGAAGAGGGCATTGGTTCCCCTGGAACTGGAGCTATGGATGGTTGTTAGCAGCCATGTGGGTGCTGGGAACTGAGCCCAGGTCTCCTGCAAGAACAGCCAGTGCTCTTAACTGCTGAGCTATCTCTCCAGCCCCTCATGCCTCTTTCTTAAAAACAATTTTTAGACAGGGTCTTATGTAGTCCGGACTGGCCTTGAACTGTGGAAACTAAGGTGACCTTGAACTCCTGATCCTATAGCCTCCATCTCCTAGACTAGGATTATAGGTGTACACTACCATACTCATTATCTATTCTGGATTAAACTGAATGCCTCATATAAGTTTCTAATTTTGGTTTAAAAGAAGATCTCAACCCACTAGTACAGCAGATTGAATACAGAATCCTGGATTTGAATGTTTTGTCCTACAATAGTAATGTTTTTAGTTATATTATCCTTACCTAGTTCCATAACAATTTGTTTTTCATGTAGAGGTTTCCTGTGATCTGGCCTTTATTTAAGGCATTTCTAAGATATGCAATCATAGAAGTACAGTTCTCTTCATATATTTCATTTTTAAATTTAATTATACTATATATTTATGATATCAGAATACAGTCTGTGAACATACAGTCAACTCATGGGACAGAGGTGCTTTCTGATTTGCATGTTGCAGAACCAGTCAGTGTTCTAGAGAGACTGAACATCATAGTGTTAATCTAGCATATTGTTGAGTGAATGGTGGCAAGACAGTTTCTGCTGAAATTATTTTTGTTGTTTATTTCTCTTTGTTAGAATATGAGCTCTTACAAGGCAAGGAATATATATATTCATATCTAGCTTTATTCATATTAAGGAATATACATATACATATCTAACTTTTATCTATGCACAGCGTCTACTATTTAATCTATACTCTCTTATTAGATGACTGAACACATTCTTATATATGTTATGCTAAATTTGAGTAATCTGTGTAGTGATTTGGGAATTAGCTTATATAGACAGGTCATTGGCCCTGAATTCCTTTTCTTGTATTCTTGAACAGATTCCTTTCTGTTTTTCATCTGAGGAGGAATGGGGATAATATAGCCTTTGACTTGTGAGTGGATTCAATGGGGTTGTGAAGTGTCTAGCATAGTAGTTAATTTAAAAAATCATAATCTTGATGCTTTTTAACTCATGAGAATATGAGCATTCATTGGGCTTTTTTCATTGAGAGACCATTAGATGGTCTGTGCATTTCTCTTATGCAACAAAATTCTCTTTCTATAAACAATATTTTATGATTTGGACAGCTTTCTATAACAAATATATGCATATTTCTTGGTATATCACATTTTTGGGTTTGATAAAGTAGGTAATTAATTAGGTGATCATAACTTATACCTTGGAAAACAATTTCAAGCTTTGTAACACCATTTGCTAGAGAGTTGACCCTTTCTAATATGGTGTGAAGGACAACTTACTTCCATAAATCACTGTAGAATTGTCAATATAAGAGCTAAGGTAGGAGGCAGAGAAGGAAGTTCCAAGGAAATCTATTTGGAAACGTTATCTTAGAAGTGTTATAAAATTAAGCCCTTTAAAAATATGGACAAAATAAACACTTTTTAAACTAAGTATAGATCCTAATAAAATTAGCAGTTAGGATTTATACTCTATTCAACATTTCCCTTTTCTTCAGAAGAAACATAGATATGTGGCTGAATGTATAACTAAATTGTAGGGTACATGTTTAGCATGTGAGGCCCTGGGCTCTGTTCCCAGCACTTTGAAAAACAGAAACCAGAAACCCCCAAATACCTAAAATCAAACAAAAAAGACTGCATTGTTAAGTATTTGTTATAAATCTAGCCTTTTTGGTTTTTGTGTTGACTGATTTAAAAAAAATGAGGTTAGGATGAGAAAGAGAACTTAAAAAAATGATTTATGATTTTGAGATTAGTAGTTTCCATTTTACTGCTCAAACTTAGAGTTGCTTAACAAATGTATCTTTAAAGAAAGGAGAATTCCTTTGAATATTCATTCTTAATCTGGTGTTAATCCTGTTTTTTTTTTTTTTTGAAATGGCAGTTCTCATTTACCATGGAAGATGAGTTTTTTGGAGAAGAAACATTCCAACAATATTGTGCAAAATTCATTAAACATTCTCAACAGATAGGTGATGGTTGGAAATGGAGAACAGCAAAGGTAAGAACAGAATTTTTTTTTTTTTTTTTTGAGACCGGATCTTGCTTTATAACCTAGCTGACCTGATATTTTCTAGGTATCCTAGGCTGGCTTCAAACTCATGGCAACCTTCCTGCCTCTGTCTCCCAAGTGATGGGATCACAGGTATTTGTCACCACACCTTGCTAAGAACAGAAATTTTATATTCCTATTTCAATGGAAAGTTATTTATTTTTATTGCATAAAACCTCAGTAATTGAAACTAAGGTATAAAAGTGGGGATGATTTAATAAAAGGCTTAAATTGAAAAGTGTTTTAATACAATTGTCCATGTTATTATTCCAGCTGTAAAGACACATTATTATTAAGCTAATGAAGTATTATCCAGAAAAGTCCTTTGATGATCTCCATGAATTTAACAGATAAGAATGCTTGCAGTATTATCTGAATGTAAAGATGCTTCTCTGGTGCATCAAACCACTTGTTTACACTATAAATTTTCTTTCTCCCTCTTATGGGCGTGCGGGTTTCATGGAGTGCCAGCTGCTGGGCGTGGCACCCGTCTCCCTCGCGCTGCTTGGGGGACGTGGGGCGGGTCGCGCACCACGTCTGCTGAGACTCTCCGCTACCGGGCCTGGCGGCTCTCGAGGACCACTGTTAGCTACCCAGTCGGGTTCCGTCCCAATCTACCAAGCACTCCCTCTGGGTTCGAGATCCGTCAGCTGCCGGGTCACAGGGGGAGGTGCGGGATG